CACTGTTCTTTGCAGCACTATTTACAATAGCTAGAACATGGAAACAACCTAGATGTCCATCAACAGATGACTGGATAAAGAAGTTGTGGCATATACACAATGGAATACTACTCAGCCATAAAAATGAATGCATTTGAGTCTGTCCTAATGAGATGGATGAACCTAAAACCTGTTATACAGAGTGAAGTAAGTCAGAAAGATAAATAGCGTATACTAACGCATGTACACAGAACCTAGAAAAATGGTACTGAAGAATTTATTTGTAGGCAGCAATGGAGAAACAGACATACAGAATAGACTTATGGACACAGGGAGAGGGTAAGAGAGGGTGAGGTGTATCTTGAGAGTAACATGGAAACTTACATTACCATATGTAAAATAAATAGCCAACAGGAATTTGCTGTATGTCTCAGGAAACTCAAACAGGGGCTCTGTATCAACCTAGAGAGGTGGAATGGGGAGGGAGATGGGAAGGAGGCTCTATATGTATACCTATGGCTGATTCATGTTGAGATTTGACAGAAAACAACAAAATTCTGTAAAGCAATTATCCTTCAACTAAAAAATAAATTTAAAAAAATCAAAAGGCAATATAGCAATGGGAGAAATATTTGCAAATTATATACCTGATAAGAAGATAACATCCAGGGGCTTCCCTGGCGGTCCAGTGGTTAAGAATCTGCCTGACAATGCAGGGCACACAGGTCTGGCCCCTGGTTAGAAAGATCCCACATGCCACAGGTCAACAAAGCCCATGAACCACAACTACTGAGCCCATGCTCTAGAGCCTGCAAGCGGCAACTACTGAAGCCCATGCTCTGCCACTAAAGAAGCCACTGCAATGAGAAGCTCATGCACCACAAGGAGAGAGTAGTCCCCATTCGCCCCAACCACAGAAAGCCCAGGCACAGCAATGAAGTTGCAGTGTGCGGTGTAGCTATAAGTTTTTTTAAAAGTTAATATCCAAAATACATACAGAATTGTCATAACTCAAAAGGAAAAAATCAACCAGATTAAAAAATGGGCAGAAGAAGTGAAAAGACATTTTCCCAAAGTAGACATATAAATGTTTAAAAGGTATATGAAAAAGTGATTAACATCATTCATCATAAGGGAAACCCAAATCAAAACCACAGTGAGGTATCACCTCACACCTGTCAGAATGGCTATCCTATCATCAGAATTGTCATAACTCAAAAGGAAAAAATCAACCAGATTAAAAAATGGGCAGAAGAAGTGAAAAGACATTTTCCCAAAGTAGACATATAAATGTTTAAAAGGTATATGAAAAAGTGATTAACATCATTCATCATAAGGGAAACCCAAATCAAAACCACAGTGAGGTATCACCTCACACCTGTCAGAATGGCTATCCTATCATCAGAAAGACAATAAATAACAAATGCTGACTGGGATGTGAAAAAAAGGGAACCCTCATACACTATTGGTAGGAACGTAAATTGGTGCAGCCCCTATGGAAAGTGGTATGGAGGAAAAATTAAAAATAGAATTACCATATGATTGAGCAATTCCATATTCAGGTATATATCCAAAGGAAACAAATCATTATCTCAAAGATATATTTACATTTCCATGTTCACTGCAGAATTATTCACAACAGCAAAGATACGAATCAACCCAAGAGTCCATCAACAGATGAATTGATAAAGTGTGGTGGAATATTATACAACCATAAAAAATATATTTTTATGATATATAGTGAATAATATGCAGTAGAATAATATACAGTGGAATATTATTCAACCATAAAAAAATTAATTCTTCAAGGCACTATGCTAAGTGAAATTAAGTCAGAGAAAGACGAATACCATATGATCTCACTTATATGTGGAATCTAAACAGAACCGAACTCAAAGAAACAGAGAACAGACTGGTGGTTGCCAGAGGCAAGGGATGAAGGTGGTCAAAAAATACAAACTTTCATTTATAAGATTAATAAACTCAGGGGATGAAACATACAATATGGGCTTCCCAGGTGGGTCAGTGGTTAAAAAAAAAAAACCTGCCTGCCAATGTCAGAGACTCCAGTTCAATCCCTGGGTCAAGACGATCCCCTGAAGAAGGGAATGGCAACCCACTCCAGTATTCTTGCCTGGGAAGTCCCATGGACAGAGGAGCCTGGAGGGCTACAGTCCATGGGGTCACAAAAATTCAGACACGACTTAGTGACTGAACAATAATAACATACAATATGGTGACTACAGTTAACAATACTATATTGTATATTTGAAAGCTGCTAAGAGAATAATCTTTAAAGTTTTTATCACCAGAAAAAAAATTATAACTATGTGAGGTGATGTATGTTAACTAAACTTACTGCAGTAATCATTTCACAATATATACATATATCAAATCATTATGATGTCATATGTCAATTATACCTCAGTAAAACTGGGGAAAACATTTTTCAAAAATAATGTCCATGTGTGGTAACTGGTATATTTCTAAACAGAATCCACAGACTAGAAACACTGCCCTAACATTACATTTAAACATGGTTAAATGTATAACCATGTACCTGAAACAGACATTATTATTCATTTTGGTTAAAAGTTAGAATTGTGACTATAGTCACCATGGTTTGTATGAATAAAATTGATCACATTATGGATAAACAATAGAAGGCTAAAAGCAATTAGTTGATTATAACTTTTTAGACTTGATAGAATATTATCCTCAAAAACTAATCCAGGCAGAAATAGACATTACAGTTTTAGAAATGTGTTAAGCTAAATAGGAAAAGTATGTTTAAATTGTAACATTCCTTAAGACAGAGGTCTAGTAGGTTTGGTATCAAGTTGCAGTGGAGAAATAACTTACCACCATAATCACAAATAACTAATGAAACAATATTATTATTTTTTATTTGCTGATATGCATCCATAAATCTCATTTTGAAGAAAAGATTTTTATTTTTCTGGTGCCATCAAGTGGTAACATTATGAAGTGTTCTAAGGTTAAATACTAATAACTTTTAGACAGAAAAGTAACTCACTGATATGTTTTATATATGTAAATGTTGTGTTTTAGCACAAAATTACATAGAAAGAAAAGGGGGTAACATTAGATCTAATTGTTTGCAACTCATTCTCATTTTAAACTCCTAACACAAAATGAGAATTAAGACAAAGAAGAAAAATGAGTAAGTCATCAAGATTGGAATGTTCCACTAGCAGACAAAAAAACCCAAAAGACAATGAAACTACCAGAAAAGAAAAATTCATATCAAACTGATATATCAATCAAATCATAAGAGATGTTCCCTCCTGAAGTTCCATTAATGTGGCAGTAAAAGAACTTATTTTTAAGGCAAAACCCTTCAAGAACAAAAAGAGAGAAAACAGCAGCAACAAAATTTTAGAAGCTAAAAACATAGATGAATGAATGATTACCGTTTGGTCAACTCAAGGAAGCTGCCTTACTTACAAAGCAATGTAAAACTCTCCAAAACGTCAGGAACTGGTTGTTTTAGATAGCTGTGGAAGTGAGTGTGAAAGCTAAAACCAAGAAAATTCACCAAAATCCTAGTTAAGAAGTTGTTAGGATGTCACTGCACACACTCCTTCTTCCACCCCTTATGGCCAAGTATCCATTTTCACACCACCCATACTGGAAGACGGAAAGTTTATCCTCGAGCAAGAGTTAACAGAGGCTTCTGACTACAGGACACCGAGCATAGTGAAGGTGGAAGCACTGCAGTTAAAAAAAAAAACTGTTAGTAATCCAAGAGATTGTGATAATCTAAACAGCACTGGCAAGTTGAAGACCACAGAACAACAACGACGATGATTTTCCTGAAAGAAAACCACTGGAAGAAGGTCCTATTAACCTTTGACTATTGTATCCAGGATGTCATATTATTAAGTGTAGTATGCTTCAATCTGCTTCTCTAAGGGAAAGGCAAGTGATGTAAAACTGATGCTTAAAAATAAATAACAGGGGGAGGAGCCAAGATGGCGGAGGAATAAGACGGGGAGACCACTTTCTCCCCTACAAATTCATCGAAAGAACATTTGAACGCTGAGCAAATTTCACAAAACAACTTCTGATCGCTAGCAGAGGACATCAGGCGCCCAGAAAAGCAGCCCATTGTCTTCGAAGGGAGGTAGGACAAAATATAAACGATAAAGAGGGAGACAAAAGAGCTACGCATGGAGACCTGTCCAGGGAAGGGAGTCTTAATAAAGGAAGTTTCCAATCACCAGGAAACCTTCTCACTGGCGGGACTGGGGGAAGTTTTCGGCAGTCTAACTGGGAGGAAAAATTAAACAAGGCCCACAGATTACGTGCCTAAAAGCAACTCCCAGCAGAAAAGTACCCCAGACGCCCGCACCCACCAGCAACAAGTGGGGGCAGAACGGAGAGGAGCGGGCGGCATTGCTTAGGGTAAGGACCGGCCCGAAGACCCTGAGAGCAATCGAAGGGAGGTTTTTTAAACTGTGGGATAGCAAGGGACAAAATTGACCGGCCAGAACACACTGCCGGCGGTTCGCAAAACAAAGGGACTGAGAAATATCACAACTAACAAAAATAGAATAGTAAGCAAATCCAAGAACCCTTTACATTCTCAGTTTAAAAGCCCATTTCATCTTGCCTCTTCAGGCCATCAAGAGTAAATGTACTAAAGAATCTCTGGGAATACTCCTGACAGAATCAGGTGAACATGGCAGGAAAAAAAAAATTATTATTCAAACAAGGAACCTAGAAGCTTGATTTTCTAAAATTCTGTTTGTGTTGATTAATTGATCAAAGCAGAGACTTAAGTATATTGTCTTCCACCATGTAATTAAAAGTTAAATTACCATATTTAGGTAATTTAACCTCCAGTAATTTCTTTTTTTCAGTCTTGTTTTTACACAGGATTATACATAAGAAATTGCAATATATGTACATATGTATGTCTGTGTATGTGTATGTATTTTCTCCCAAATACCAATATAAGAACATGCCAAAATATAATAATACAGATAAAAGTGTACCTTGAACACCTTCCAGGAGCAAATCAACTCCCTTCCTATAAAAATCAGAGGCAGCTTCATAGTCATCTTCTTCTTCCTTTTTTAAAGCCAGCTTTATTAATTCTCCTGCTTTCTCCAAATAATCTCTCTTGCCAAGCTTGGATTTTAAACTGCCAGGAAAAAGGCTACGACTTTCCCGTTCTTCTTCTGTTTTGCTCTGTTCACTGTCAGAAAAAACAGCTCCTAGTGCTGAAGAATCTGAAGGAAGATTGGGACCAAAAGTCCTGATGGGAGAATTTTGATTGGAAGCCATTCCATCATCCAACTCAGCAAGAGAATCCACATCAACAGTAAGAGATACCAGATCACTGTCACTGGAGAAACCTAGAAATATGATCACAATAGTGAACAGATAGTAAATTGAGAATCAACCAAAAGAATACAAATCATACTGACTAAACATTTTTTCATACTACCCATGTCAACCAGGAAGACTGCAATTTACTGATGGAAGTCAGTCTAGCAATTTGTTTCAGCTTAGTTCATTCATTTTTGCACTATCTCCCTACAGTTCTGGAAGACAATCTCCTTGCCTTAACCATCAAACTGAAACTGAAGACAAGTCTTTATTTAGCCCTGTTGTTACAAGGAGCCTTTACCATAGGATCTTGTATTTACAGAAAGTTGATGCTTATATACACAGCTTCTGTGAACAACAGAATTATGATAAAAGCAAAAGAATAAGAGCTTTAGAATAGAAAAGAGAAGTGCTTGAATCCCAGCTCTTAAAACTTACTGTGTGACCAACCACAAGTTACTTAATAATAAACTTATTATGTGGGGCTTTAAATGAGAAAAAGAGCAAACACATATAACAGACTAAGATTAAATTATAACTTTTATAGCAATTACATAATAACAATTTGAATACACATAATATAATGTATCCTCACAGATGTGCTTTCAAGTAACCATCCATATCTAGAAAAGGTATGCCATGCAGCTTTTTTTAAAAAAAATATTGTTATTTTGAAATTTATGTTTCAGTCTCTTCCACAAACTTTTGGAGAAAGCTTTGGTCAGTATTTGCATCTTAGCTTTCTGACAGAAAATGAATAGTGGATGCTACTGAACATTTACTCAATGAAAATTACTTCTTCCATTTCATATAACTGACTTCACAATAGATGAGCTTGAACTACAATAAGTTACTAAAGCTGCTCTACTTTTACATTCTTAAAAATGATTAAGGACCTCAAAGAGCTTTTGTTTATATGGATTACATCTGTAAATATTTACCGATCTTGGTATTTTAAAAATAGACTGAATTTTTAAACACTTAAAGCCCATTATATGTTAACATAATTTTTATAAAAATAATTAAGAAGTACCATTGTTTTACATATTTGCAAATCTTGTTAACAGAAGATGGCCAGATTCTCATGTCTAATTCTGCACTCAATCTGTTAGATGTCATTCTGGTTAAAAGAGTTGAAGAAAATGTCACATTGGTAAGTAACTGAAAGTGGGGTGAGTATTTTAACAGCCCTTTCAAATAACTATAGCTATTTTTTTGATACTACAACAAAACTTAACAAGTAGTAGTTTCTTAAAGGTTAGTTTAATACTGAGTTTACGAACTCATACAGATCTTTTATCCTGTTTGAGTCTGTAACATCACACTCTGGTCATTTGAAAATATTAGTTCCTGAGTTATACAAAGCCTCCAAATGGTGATAAATTTCATCATTACAATATCTCCAAGAAAATCACATTTGCTATTTATCACCAATGACCTCATCAGAAAATTGTTTACATATTGTGAAACTGTTAGGCTCAAAGTGGCTGAAACAGGATCTCCAAAATTCTATTTTGGTATTGAGAACTAGAATATCATCACTATTTGGCAACAAATACTGTTAACTGCATTCCTTGAAGTGCAAGCTTCCTTCATTCATTAAAAAAAAAAAAAAACTGTTAAATACTCAAGTCTGAACAATGAGTTGTCTGTCAGTCATTCTTTCAAGCAAAAACAGGGTCCCAGGAAAAAAGTAGTTATGGTTCAGATAACTGCAAAGGCGCTTTCCGTCAGGAAAACCAGGGCAGTTCAGTATGTAAAGTGTTTTTTCACTTTCATTTCATCACACATAATAGCATATAAAAGACATATATCCATGGGTTGAGATTCAGTAAAATTAACAGTTTTTACGGCTTTATCAAGGACTTCCTAGGTGAAATAAGCATTGGTATCACTGCAAGTATGTGCAACAAATACTGTTACAGTCTTGTATCACTGTCTTGATTCATGCTCAAGTAGAGCAGTTTTACCCACCACTGCTTTTGGATCATCAGTACAATTGTCAGCAGAGTGGAAACAGCAAATTACTTCTTAGATTATTACAAAAAATAGTTTCTGCCTTGGAGAGCCCCTGAAAAGATCTCAGGAATGAACACCCAGAGATCTGAAAACTACACTTTAAAAGCCACTGACTTGTATCATTAAATAAGATTCACAACAGGGTTAGGCAAAACTTAGGTTTGGGAAGAACTATGAGATCTGCATATAGGCTTCCCTGGTGGCTCAGATGGTAAAGCGTCTGCCTGCAATAGGGGAGACCTAGGTTCGATCCCTGGGTTGGGAAGATCCTCTGGAGAAGGAAATAGCAACCCACGCCAGTACTCTTGCCTGGAGAATCCCATGGATGGAGGAGCCTGGTGGGCTACAGTCCATGGGGTCGCACAGAGTCGGACATGACTGAGCGACTTCACTTTCCTTTCCTTTCCGTATGAGATCTGCATCTTCACTGAATACAGACTGATTGCCAGGTTTCTCAGGAAGGAAAATATTGCGTTGACCAAAAAGTTCATCCAGGTTTTTCTATAACTCAAACAAACTTTTTGCCCAACGTAAAGAAGAAAATGATCGCCCCAGCGTCATACACTAAGTCAAAATTAAAGGTGGATTTGAGTGTACAATTCCAGATCAAGGGTCAACAAAATTTTTGCCCAACATGAAGAAAAAAACGATCTCCCCAGCATCATACACTAAGTCAAAATTAAGGTGGATTTGAGTGTACAATTCCAGATCAGGGGTCAACAAACTTTTTTTCTGAGGGCCACAGGGTGAATATTTTAGGCTTTGTGGGCCATACAACCTCAGTCACAACTGATCAACACTGCTGCTGTGGCACGAAAGCAGCCACAGACGACACCCACACGTACAAGCACGCCTGTGTTCCGGCAAAGCTTCTCATGTGGAGGCTGAACTCTGAACGCCGTATAAAGGCGCACATGCCACAAAATAATATACTTTGGAATTTTGTCAACCATTTAAAAATGCAAAAACCACTCTTAGCTTATAGGGCAGGTCATATGAAAACAGGTGGCAGGCCAGACTTGGCCCATGGGCCACAGTTTGTCAACCCCTATCAAAGACTCAAATTGCTTCAGTTCAGCTCAGTCACTCAGTCATGTCCGACTCTTTGCGACCCCATGGACTGCAGCACGCCAGGCCTCCCTGTCCGTCGCAACTCCCAGAGTTTACTCAGACTCATGTCCGTTGAGTCGGTGATGCCATCCAACCATCTTATCAAATTGCTTACTTCATACCAAATAAAGTAAGTTGGGATAAAAACATTTACTGGCAGCTAAGCTCTAGTTTCAAATCAACTTTAGACCCTATTTTGGCACTCTGTCAATATATCCTGTTTTCAGGGTTTGGCTTTTTTTTTCCCCACAAATCCTTGCAATGCCCATAAAATACTAATTTTGTTCCCTGAAAGCAAGAGACTTCATTAAAGCCACAATATCAGATGAAATTCATGGCACCTAGTGGAAATCTCTTCAATTCGCCACATTTCAACTGTATAGACAGCACTTAAAATCAAAATCTCTTTATAGCCATCTAGAAAATTATTTACACATTGCTCTGAGAAATATATAAACTTTCTGAGATTTTTTAAAATAATTTTAAATATTTTCTATATTCAATACAAATTTACTTCCTTAAATGGTTACCATTGTATAACCTGGTCCTCCGAAATTAATAAACAAAGAAAAAAACGCTGTGGTTTATACAGCTAATCACAAACAAAAGGAAATGTTGTTACAGATCTTTTGTCTGCTCTCTGATGTCTTGTCACTATAACCTCTATATTATCTATCACATCATACTGTTTCATGCTTTGCTTGATTTTCCTTTCTAACAAGAACAATAATACCAAAGGGCAAGAGGGTAAAGTTATGTGTACTCAGTTTCTTGGCTTTTGACCATAAAAATCTAGTCATATAGTCATATTTCCTCTTACTCTTCCAACCTTATTAGCAAACAAATCATGATTACATGAAACTAGATCAGAAAAGTAACATCATAAAAACACCTAGGGAAAAGTCAGATAGTAAAATAAAGTAATAAATAAATGTTCTATACAAATTGTTCCCTTTTCAAATTCTACCTAATTCTAAATGAGAAATGTTTCAAAATAAGCAAACAAATAAGAACTAGCAGGTTAGGAAGAGAAAATTTTTTAGCCTAAGCAAGAGAAGCAAAAGGAAACAAAATTACTTCTTCTGGTTTATGGAGGACAATTTTAAAATATATGTCAGATGCAAAAATGCTTATATCTTTAGTCTAGAAATTTAGCAACATATACCAGAAACAATCAGAGATGAAGGAAATAAAAGACCTACACGTAATATTCATCACAAAAACTAGTGCAATTGAAATAACAAATTCCTAACAATAGGAGAATATGGTATATCCTATGATAAAATATTATGGAGTTATTAAAAACTTTTACCAGTTCAGTCCAGTCACTCAGTCATGTCAGACTTTTTGCAACCCCAAGGACTGCAGCACGCAGGCCTCCCTGTCCATCACCAACTCCCAGAGCTTGCTCAAACTCATGTTCATTGAGTCGGTGATGTCATCCAACCATCTCATCCTCTGTCATTCCTTTCTCCTCCCACCTTCGATCTTTCCCAGCATCAGAGTCTTTCTAAATGAGTCAGTTCTTTGCATCAGGTGGCCAAAGTATTGGAATTTCAGCTTTAGCATCAGTCCTTCCAATGAATATTCAGGACTGATTTCCTTTAGGATGGACTGGTTGGATCTCCTTGCAGTCCAAGGGACTCTCAAGAGTCTTCTCCAACACCACAGTTCAAAAGCATCAATTCTTCGGTGCTCAGCTTTCTTTATAGTCCAACTCTCACATCCATACATGACTACTGGAAAAACCATAGCTTTGACTAGATGGACCTTTGTTGGCAAAGTAATGTCTCTGCTTTTTAATATGCTGTCTAGGTTGGTCATAGCTTTTCTTCCAAGGAATAAAGAGTCTTAATTTCATGGCTGCAGTGACCATCTGCAGTGATTCTGGAGCCCC